TAACACCTTCCAGTCAGAGAAGCCACAGTTTTCATACATATTTCCGTCAAAACAATTTCTATTTTTTCTATGCTTCTTTCTGCGTAGATTTCAAATTGTAATCGATCCGATTTCGTTTATTTGACATTTATACAGAAACGTAGACTGAAATCACCAACATTTTGTCCGAACCATCTAGGATTAGTCTGAAGAATGCTGTTTCTAAATTCTTGGGAGATTATGAGCTGATTCTCTGCTGTGAAGTTTCCAAATATTTGCGTAAATTGCCCTCAGGCCTATAATCTAATATTCTTAGTGGGTACACGAGCGAAACTTTTATGAATTTATATATAGAGACCAATCTAGATAAACATCAATACACACAAAAATATATTAAGGAATCGGTGAGCCGAGTTCGAATTTCAGTCGATTACATTATATTCATTTACGAGCTGATAAACTTGGGACAGGTATTAACTCTTTTCTTCTCCCTCCATCTATGAGTAAATTGACTGGGTTCTATAGCCTCGGGTGGCAACTGGTCTAGAAGAAGGACAATTCTTTTGGGGACCTTGTGGCACGTAGTGCATCAGGTCAGTGTATTCGGCACATCAAAAAGTGCGGTTGGTTCAGAAGAAAGCATTCACCACTATAATAAAATCATGTGTACTGGAGTCTGGGATGTCGGTTCCTATGAACCAATTTACTTGATCCTCATACGTCGAATGCGACGGAAGAGTCAACTATCTATCTATCTATCTATCTATCTATCTATCTATATATATATATATATATATATATATATATATATATATATGTGAGTGTGCGCATTTCTAAACAATAAATATATTTCTTGTAATCCACTGTTTATATTATTTAAACGGAATTATATGATACTTCTTATTTGATATATATATATATATATATATATATATATATATATATATATATATATATTTATATACTAGCATGGCCCGGCGGGGTCCGGGCTTAATTTAAAAATCGTACGACTCATACAGCAATCGCTATCACTTGACATAAAATATTTTTACCCTTCCTTGTCTTTAAAGGAGTCTCCTTTGCCGTGCTGAGGTTGTTCATGCCTAACTTCTTGCCTAACTCACACTGCGAATTTTTCTAAGCTCTATACTAAAGATTAAATATGTTACGAAAAAAGAACTAAACAAAATGAACACAAAATGATCAGCTTTAAAAAAGGAGTCGTAATTGGAAAAACAACAAATACTTTTTCACAGCCAAACCTGTTCTGCGGAATCAGAATCAATGTTGAGTTTAAGCAAGCGAATGATCTAATTGGAGTAAAGTGCCATGTAGATTTAAATTTTTCCCACTTTTGACGAATGCAGCTATCGATTTTTTTTTTTTTTTGCATGCTAGCATGCTAGTTAACATTCGTGTCAGTCAGCTGTTGGCTCTTACGCTGGACAATAGAATCTTCCTGCCTATTTGTGGCAGACAGCTACAGGCTCTGCCTCTGGCCAGTACAAAATGGCCGCAAACTACATGTAAACTGCCGTAGAAGCATGAAACTATCGATTATTTCCACTATCGATTGGTGTTGAGAATTGCAAAATTATTCTTGGCCTTCCCGCTAATTTTGGTGCAAATCCGTCGAAAATTGCGACCGTACACTCGTTACACACACATCCTGCTTTATGTATATATATATATATATATATATATATATATATATATATATATATATATATATATATATATATATATCGACCCTGCGTCCTCCTTTGCAGGAGTCATCTCCGACTGATCCGGTAAGAATTTACTACGCCGATTCATAATGGTTCATATTCTAATCCTGCTGGAGAGCACAGTTTCTTTAAATTTTTCTAGAGTTTGGCGGCCGTCGAGGAAATAAATACAATTCACTATCGGAGGAGTCTTATGATATTGATCTGATTCCATACATGCTTTTCAGTCAGTGCTAGATAAAAAAAAAAAATTAATCTCATGCTAAATTTTATAAAAGCTAACAGAATAACCAAAATATATACTTAAACTATTGCTTATATATGATTTCAGAAGATTTATTTTTAAACATAAATAACAAATTCTTGATAATCGCATTGCCGTGCTTCCATATTACTTAAAGTTTATTTATACATTTTACCACGCCTATTCGAACTGGGTTAGAATGACTGTATTTCTACTTTGTCCTCTGACCTCACAGTCTAGTATTTCATTATTTCTTTATATAATTTCATTAAATTTCATTTTCATAAGTAAATGGTAATCATTATTTCTAGAATATCCAGTTACATTTACAAATAGACTTCGAAATTCGTCTCTCGGACAAATATTGAAATAGCAAAGATAATTATAAAATTGTTGGTTACATATTTCGTATAGAATTTCGGCTCGATGTATTGATGAGTGACGAAGTAAAAAGTAATGATATTTTAAAATTTTCTTTATACACGGAAATTAATTTTACTTTTCAATTTTTCTTTTGAATTTTTCTTTTAAATTCTTTTATTCTTTTCTTTTCATACGGATTAACTTTAGTCCATTATTTTTGTAATACAACTGAAATTTATGTACAAAGAAGTTATTTAAGATGAGTTTTATTTTTATTTTTTAAGTCAGTCGTGGAACCTAATATAAATTTATTAATGTTAAAAATTCATATATGTATTTCATGAATAACACTTAATCTGTCAGAAGGAAGGCATTTCCCTTAAACGTACGAAAAAATCCTTTTAAACATGCATTTGCAAACAGATATCTGATTAAAGGCCTATAAAATCAAATAATCCTAGCCACGAGGTGATATTTATAATAATTTTAGTACTTACCATATTATAATTTTCAAAGATCAAGGTTATTCCAAACATATTGGAATATAATATGCAAGTGTTTATTTACATACGCGGTATGAATCTCTTGCTAAAAATCACGTAAAAACAGAAAAAGGACGTTTATTACACTTTAATTAGATTTTGCACTGATCTCGGCAGAGACGAAACGTATGATATGCTCCTAAATTGATTAGTGTGTTCTATATCATTTAATCTGCATCTCGGGAACAAATATTCACACATATACTAGTTTGAATCTTATACATACATACATACATACATACATACATATATATATATATATATATATATATATATATATATATATATATATATATATATAAATCTCTCAAATGAAAATAATAATTACATTATAAAAAAAACATTTGCTTATTTTCATTAATTAGACATCAGAAAGACTAACTACAACTTTACTGTATTGTATAAGTAAAAGTTCCAAAAGAAACGTCTTACTTTTGTGTTGATAAAATCTATTTTGTTTTTAATCATATTGTTTATTTTTTTTCATTATTCGGACTATTGTCCTCATCTATGTCGCCATATTTATCACAACGTTGCGGCCGTTGTACGCTCCGGCCTTCTTCAGGTGGTTGGAATATCGAAATGAACCCTTTATTTCGTTCACTGTTCTAATTCAATGTGCCATGTTTGATGGATATCAGTTATCAGTTATCTTCTGTTAATTTTCCCTCTGAAAGTTCTCCCTTAACCGGGTATTGAACTCACACTCTTTGTATCCCGTCACTGGATCTAACCAACGTCTTTATCCGCTGTGCCATATGTCCTTGAGGACATCTGGTGTGCCATATGTACTTGAGGACATCTGGGTTTGAATTTCTGGGTATTATAAACCTAATGTCTTCAGCAACCATTTTTACTAGAGCTCATATTGCAATTTTGCATGTTTTCTTTTTACAGATATATTTGTATTTAAATCTGAATGTCTACGTAAATAAATATATATTCATACGAGTATATATTTGCATATGTATAAAGTAATATAAGACGTTTATTTTTTTTTATGGTAAATCTTCAGGTATCCACATGGATATATTAAAAGATTAAATTACTAAATTCTACACTATTATATTAGCAAAAAACGTCATAATGTTAAGCATCGAATCGTACATTTAAAAGCTAAAGTCTCAACTGATATATGCCACATTTGGTTTTCTCAATTTCCTCCTCATTTTCCTTATTCCTGGCTTTTATTAGAGTCTAAGTTTATTTGTTCGATTCTTGTCATTATTTCATCTTATTTTTTTTCTTTATTTACTTGATGCTTCCCACATTTTCCATTATGAGATTCACAGCCAATAATTCAGGAAATAAACAGAGACTTAAATACTTATAGCAGTGCATTGCCGGTGAATCAGACGCCTAAATCACAAAAGTCCTTTCTTTACGTTCAACATGGTTAACTAAGCAGAGGTCAATTTTTCTAACGCAATGTCCAACGACGGTAATGTGCCATGCACGTCCACAAGTCGACGTCATGCTATTTGCACTGAAAGTTAAGCAGCGATACTGGCTTTTACGCTCTTGAGAATAGTGGCTCCATTTAACTAGACCATGAATCATATAAACGTTGGCAATACATAAGGAGCTTCCCTTTTTCTCCCGCCATTTCTTCTTAGACTTTTGTGTTGCTGTTGTTGATTTCGTTGTTGACCAATTTTACTTCTTCTCTTTCTTAAAAGCTTATACTGGCGATTTTATTATCCTCCGTATTTAATGACATTTTTGCCTTTCTGCTTTTCGAATGTTCTTAAATTACATCCTTTTCTCTAATGTTACCATCGGCTTTTTTCTATTTTAGTTCGTCTATACTGTTTATTTTTCTATTATTTTAAAGCATTTATAACTACATTCATTTATCTACAAAGTTGGTGAATTCTGATCTACTTTCTACTGTTCTGATGGCTTCAGTTATCTATCTATCTATCTATCTATCTATCTATCTATCTATCTATCTCTCTCTCTCTCTCTCTCTATATATATATATATATATATATATATATATATATATATATATATATATAGATATATAAAGAAGAGAGAAAGAGAAGATAATGTTATATTTCATTCAGTTCGTTTCTCTATATCTATTCTATTTGGGCATAGATTTAAATCAACTCACGCCTGTCGAAATAAGATCATCCCTAGCTACATCTATCTATCTATCTATCTATCTATCTATCTATCTATCTATCTATCTATATATATATATATATATATATATATATGTATGTATGTGTGTGTATGTGTATGTGTGTGTGTGTATATATATATATATATATATATATATATATATATATATATATATATATATCTGCGCGAATGTATTTTTTTAAATTTAAGATATTAGGAGAATAATGGTTACTATGTATCTGTTTTATATCCATATCTATATATCCATATATATTTCTCTCTCTCTCTATATATATATATATATATATATATATATATATATATAGAAAGCGTGAGAATTTATATAGAGAGAGCAGATAAAAACATATATAATAGATATAGAGAGATCTATATATTATATAAATATATATGCATATATAATAGATATATCTATTATAAATATAGATATAGAAATAGATTAAAATATGTACATATAGAAATATATTTATATTCATCTATATAATATATATATATATAACATACATATAGATAAATATATATATATAAATAATTATATATAATAGATATATGTTTATATATATATATATATATATATATATATATATATATATATATATATATATATATATATATATACGAGTGCTTGTAGAGTGAGTCTGTATTTTTATTCATTTTCTGGAGTCTGCTCTTACATTTTCATTCGTTTTACTCACTCATTTCTATTTAGTTTATTGCTTATCTCTCCTGTCTTCGTCTTCCTGTTTTCGTCTTCCTGTTTTCGTCTTCCTGTTTTCCTCTCAGTGTTTCTACTCATTTGTAACTTCTTTCTTCTTTTACGCTTTCATTCATTCTCATTTCCACATGTCTCTGGTATTCCCACTTGCAGTGACTATTCATTTGCCTTTATTGTACAACTTCCCATTTCCCATTATCATCTTTCATTTCTCACTCATTCATCAACACATCTTTTTTTTTTCTTTTGCTTTTCTTCTATTTTTTGTCCTCTCACTCATTCTTTATATAATTTGAATCCAAGCTTTTATATTTTATTTTATTCTCTCTCGCTTCCCCACCAAAGCATACACATTTCGATATCTCTTGCTGATGCTTCTTCATTCGTGTCATTCTTCCCTCGATTCAATTCTTACGCAAACAACCATTCATTCTGCGATTCTCCTATGTCAGAATCGTTTTTCCTTTCACCTTCATCATTTTCTTTCTTCTCTCTTTCATTCTCTTGTGTATATCTATTACATACACCACGGCGTTTCTTTTCTTTATTTTCTAATATATACGATTTTATATAGTTTTTCTGCGGGTAATGGGCACCTCAAACTATCAAAGTGATAATGTCTTCGTCCAGCCGTGCGTGAAAATGTCATTTAGGCAGAGGTGAGTTAAAATATTCAATCAATCTTGTCCATGGAAGGAATTTAGCAGAATGTATTTTACAGTAGGGGAAGTGCGCATGCTCACACTGCTAATGACCTCTGATGCACGGGAAAATGTTGTTATGGGCGAGGCCGGCTTAAGTATAGAATAACAGCTTGGCCAAACGATCTAAGTTCAGCCAATGCAAATAGCGAAGTTTGGTGGTCTGTGGATAGGTGGGTGCAAATAGAAGTTCTTAGAGAGAGAAAAAAAAAGGTTCTTGGTTAAAATGTCTACTCCAGTCTAGTCCCAAACGCATTGGCTTTTTATATGTAATTTCCTCTATTTTATGTTTTTTTTTTTATTATTTTGTAATCAAATATTTTCTCTTTTTTTTTCTTTTGGTTTCCCCTTTGCGCGACACTTAATTATTTTTCTTTCATGTTCTTCCCAAATGATTTAAAGCGCACACATATATACATATAGTAAGAGCCGCTGAAAAGTTCGACGCCCAAAGAAAATCCAAATGTCTAGTCAAATGACCAAACATCAGAAGTTTTTTTTTTTTTTTTTTAAATGGATGGACACACACACAGTCGAGCGCATAAGTGAGTGTTTGTAGAGAGAATTACAGTACCGGTGACAAAATGGTGATGATGACGATGATGATGATGATGAGGATGATGGTGGTGATGATGATGTTGGTGATGATACAAATCTGTATGAGTGTAAGTGTAAAATCTTTAAAACGGCGCGTTTCGTCGATGGTTGTTGTCTACTTGGCTTCTTCACATCGGAATGAAGAAAAATTGTCAAACAAGTGTCTTTGAATCGCGTCGTTTATAGGATTTTCCACATTTTTTCCTTCAAATTTCTCGTCCCCACTCTCCTCCTCTTTCTCCTCTTTCTCTCTCTCTCTCTCTCTCTCTCTCTCTCTATATATATATATATATATATATATATATATATATATATATTATTTTTATAAAAAAAATTATAACATAAGTATGTTATAAAATCACTACAGTTAAATGTACGAAATAATCCCTTTTGTTTGTAGTGGGAATGTTCTTAAGTGATACTCCGAAATGGATTCTATCCATATTATAAGAATAGAATGGACATGGCTCGACAGTAATAGGAGCTAATATCAAAGTATATAATTGGCATATACGGAATGAATTCCAATAACCAACAATTACTTTTCTTAAAAGAGTGCTCAATACAAAGTAGAGCAGATATAATTATAGATATTATGTTATAATTTTTATAAAAATAATTATATCTGCTCTATTTTGTATTGAGCACTCTTTTTAAGAATAGTAATTGTTGGTTATTGAATTCATTCCGTATATACCAATATATATATATATATATATATATATATATATATATATATATATATATATATATATATATATATATATTGATAAAGTCAGTCACAGGAAGAAAGGTGTCAGCTAAGAATAGTTTTACCTCTAATCTCTCTGTTTCTGTCTCTCTGTGTCTGTCTCTCTATCTCTCTCCCTATCTCTCTCTCTCTCTCTCTCTCTCTATATATATATATATATATATATATATATATATATATATATATATATATATATATTGGCAGCATGTTATTCTTTACTCAGGCATGTGTTACTAAAAAACCAAGGAATTTTCCGTTTAATAAATTTTCTTTCGATTTTTCTTGCTTTTGTGGCAATTATTTGGTGTTTATTATTTGGGATTACTTATTTAATAACTAATGTACATATATATATATATATATATATATATATATATATATATATATATATATATATATATATTATAATTAAAGTATATCAAACACTTAAAGTCCTGTAGGAAATAAATATTATTTCATGAGAGCTCAAAAAAACAGTAGCTCTCAATCTTCAAGACCTACAAGCTTAGGATTTACTTACAGGTCTGCAACATTTGTAAATCTTTCTCCCCAATCTTGAACTGTTAACTCATAAATCTACGTTCCATGAAGAAATGATCATTAGGACAATTGCCATGTATATATTTATAGAAATGTACAGGATCAAAATTGACTGAGGCAAGTTAGGGTACGTGACATTGGCACAATTTCCAGAATATCATAAAAAATATAAAACCGTTTCCTGCTTATTTGAAAGAAAGTATTGTACAAATAAAATACACATATTGTCTTCAGCATGACAGCCAAATTAAAAATTAAATATATATATATATATGTGTGTGTGTGTGTGTGCGTGTGCAATTGTGTGTGTGTGTTTGGGTGTGTGTATCAATGGAAATGATGGTACTAATTTTAGTGTTATTTCCAAAATTTCTTAAATTTATCGCTATTTTTCTCATTAAATTTTATGTCTGTTCGTATGTATATATGTGCAAGAGATTCCCTTCTAGACCATAGTGCCACGCCCTCAGCACACTACTGTTGTATTTTCTGTAGCAAGTATGTTTGTACGGGCCGGTGTTGCTAGCCATGTGTTGTCCGTTTCTAAATATGTTTACCAAACAAGGTTCTTTGTTTCTATGTACTGTGTCCTTTCAGGTCGTTGGCGATCATGGCTCTCCACCTCGCACTATCTCAACAATATCCTTCCCTCTGCCACTTCCCCCAGACCAAGTTTTGTCAACCAACTGCTCAAGTTCGCCTGGTATATCTGACGCTGCTTTGCCTTGTCTCTCTTTCACTCTATTCGACTCGTCAGTATCAGATTATGTAGGTTCTCCTTTCTCATTATGCGTCCCAGAAACTTCAGTTGCGTCTTCTGATGTTATCTCGTTCTTGTTTGCAACCTCACTAAGAACTCATCATTTCTCACACATTCCTTTCATGTATCCTTAGCAGCCTTCTGTAGAACCATATCCATGTTGCCTCGAGTCTCTTCTTCATCTTTGAGGAAATCGTCCAATATTCGCTGCCGTAAAGAAAGATAGATGTCACGTAACAGTTTGTTATCCTTTTCTTCGCTACCAAAGAAATCCTTTTAGTGTGGGGAGATTACGTGAATTCACCCCTTTTACTATATATATATATATATTGTGTGTATTTAGCCAGCATATTTTCATTTATACACGTTTCATTAAATAATATAGACAAGTGTTGTCTATTTATTTTATTTAAAATTTTTTCGTATCTTCTGATAAGTTTGATAACATTATCATTAACCGAAAAAAGAAATTCACAATATTAATCCATTATTTTTTTAATATAATCTAAGCTTTCGGCTTACTCAAAGATGTAATTACAAACATATCAAACAATATACGGACACGACAGTGATGATAGTCTGTCATTGTTTAGTTTACATAGTGGGTCACTAAGCAACGATGAACACGCGCATATAAGACGCTAGAAGCGAAAATCGCTCCGCATCTCATGACGTCACACATGACTACACGAGACTTCAACCAATGGCTTCTGTTACCAATTATAGAAATTATAGACATTTAAGAATATTTGTAGAGATTCCATAGTTGATTTTGTTTAGGTTGGGTTTTAACTGTTTGATGTATAATGCTTCAAGTATTTTTAGTTTTTGTCTATTGTTTTCATGTCGAAGTATAGTTGTGTTTTCGACAAGTATTTTACGGAATTGTGTGTGCGGGCAGGCATGTTGTTTTAAATGCCTAAAAATGTTAGAGTTTTCATTAAAATGTAGTGTCAAGCGTCGTGAAAGCGAGTTTGTGGTGTGACCAACATAAATATTATTTAATTCGTTGGAGATACACTCTCCCAAAGGGCACTTGAATTTATAAACTATGTTGGTTTTTTGCAAATCGCTAACCGGGGTAGAAGAATCATTGCGAAGTATTAAGTTGGATATACTAGATTTAGTGTAGTATATGATTAATTTAATTTTTTTGCTAGGATCTGTAGTTGATATATTAGAATTTACTAAATTTTTTAGTATGTGTTCATCTTGTTTATAATTAGTATGCATTTGATTACGATATAGGAGATTAATATATTTGAGATCAGTAGAAGCAGCATTATGTACAATTTGCTTATTATTGAGATTTCTAAGAAAGCATCTTATTTGTTCATCAACTATATAGTTTGAAAAGCTATTATTAATAAGTGTCTGTTTTATATTCTTTAGTTCACTGTAAAAAATCTGTTTGGTGGATGAATTAGTTTCTGCACGATGTATTAGATTCTTTATAATTGCTATTTTGTAGTAATATGGGCATTCGCTCTTGTAGTTAAGTGTACATGAATTTATGCTTGTAGGTTTTTTGTATGGCGAAATAGTAAATTTGTTATTATTTGTGTTTATCAATATGTCAAGGAAGGGATTTTATTATTAGTATTGAGTTCATATGTGAATTTAAGGACATAATTATTTTGGAACCGTTTTTGAAGTTGAATTATTTCATCTGTATTTTAAACTAACATAAGAATATCATCAACGTATCTTAGGAGATTGATGGTTTTTAAAATCTGTAAATAACTTATTTTCGAGGTTCGACATGTAGAAATTGCTAAATGTCGGGCCCAATACTGAACCCATGGAGACACCATCACGTTGTATATATATATATATTGTTATTATGATCGAAGAAAGGGACTTCAGTAGTACAAGTTAATAGTAGTTTTCTTAATATATTAGGATTAATTTTAAGTGGGGGTAAAGATGAGTTACTGTATATATTTCTTATGATTATATCAATAGTTTCACTAACAGGGACATTGGTAAATAAGTTTTCAACATCAAGTGAAGCCATGATTTCATTGTCAGGTTTTTCACTTTTTAGGATTTGGATTACTTCTAATGTTGACTTAACACTATATTTACTAGGAAGATAGGGAGTAATAAGTTGGTTGATGTATTTTGTTAGATGATATACAGGAGTTGGAATTTGCGATATGATAGGACGGAGAGGATAGTTAGGTTTATGTGTTTTTATAGTGCCATATATGTAGCCAGGTCTA